AGACACACAGGTTGACACACTGACAGCTGTATCAAACACACAGTACAGGTTGACACAATGACAGCCTGTGTCAGAGACACACAGGTTGACACAATGACAGCTGTGTCAAGACACACAGGTTGACACACTGACACTGTATCAAGACACACAGTTGACCACAATGACATCTGTGTCAAGATATACAGGTTGACACACGACAGCTGTGTCAAAGACATACAGGTTGACACAATGACAGCTGTGTCAAGACACACAGGTTGACACAATGACAGCTGTGTCAAGACACACAGGTTGACACAATGACAGCTGTGTCAAGACACACAGGTTGACACAATGACAGCTGTGTCAAGACGCACAGGTTGACACAATGACAGCTAGTGTCAAGACTACCAGGTTGACAAAACTGACAGCTGTATCAAGACACACAGGTTGACACAATGACAGCTGTGTCAAGACATACAGGTTGACACACTGACAGCTGTGTCAAGACACACAGGTTGACACACTGACAGCTGTGTCAAGACACACAGGTTGACACAATGACAGCTGTGTCAAAACATACAGGTTGACACACTGACAGCTGTGTCAAGACACACAGGTTGACACACTGACAGCTGTGTAAAGGGACACACAGGTTGACACGCTGACAGCTGTGTCAAGACACACAGGTTGACACACTGACAGCTGTGTCAAGACACACAGGTTGACACGCTGACAGCTGTGTCAAGACACACAGGTTGACACACTGACAGCTGTGTCAAGACACACAGGTTGACACGCTGACAGCTGTGTCAAGACACACAGGTTGACACGCTGACAGCTGTGTCAAGACACACAGGTTGACACACTGACAGCTGTGTCAAGACACACAGGTTGACACGCTGACAGCTGTGTCAAGACACACAGGTTGACGCACTGACAGCTGTGTCAAGACACACAGGTTGACACAATGACAGCTGTGTCAAGACATACAGGTTGACACACTGACAGCTGTGTCAAGACACACAGGTTGACACAATGACAGCTGTGTCAAGACACACAGGTTGACACAATGACAGCTGTGTCAAGACACACAGGTTGACACAATGACAGCTGTGTCAAGACACACAGGTTTACACACTGACAGCTGTGTCAAGACATATTTACATAGCTTTAACGCCCAGTAAAAACAGATAGTTACAAAAGCGTTAAATCCGTATGGGCCGCTTAGCGATTCTATCCAGTGGATGACAGTGGCTAGTTTATTGTGCAGTTATGCTGACGGTACCTCTAGGTACCCGAGAAGGAATACCTGTAGGTAATACAATATTTTGTTCCCATCCTTCAAAGTTCTCGTTTGAAGTCTGAGAATGCCTCATCCGATAGGCTTAAAACTTTCAACCCAGCAACTATAGTCATGTATGTCTGGTATATTTTCCCCTATACCATTGACTTATTTCATATTTTTTGTGGGGTACCTTGAGAATGGCTCTTCTGGTCGACTTCAAACTTGTGTTGCAAGTGCGTCTCTCTCAGTGGAAGCTTTGCATCGATTTCTAATTGTTTAAATTTTAATTTGACGAAGTTAATAAGCAAACTGGTTTCCAGGAGATAGCTAAGGAATGCCTCTTCCGACTGGGTGTAAACTTTCAGAGTTGATGTATCTTAGTTGGTGGTTTAAATTGGTTTTGGGTAGTCCAGGTGTCAATATTTTTTATTGCAGAAATTTGAATATTAATTTTAAAGGGATAAGTTGTTAATGCTTCTGTAGATTGGCTTCAAACCTTTGTTGTTGATAACACTTCTATGTGCATTGAGGTAGAGGAGACTGGGGTTATGAAATACAGGGATACATATATAAACACTCTCTGGTCTACTCTGAAAGCTTTTACTTAAAGCGTGAAGCTGGAGGTAAATATGTACGCTTGATAAGCTTAAATTTAAGCTGAAGGTCTGATAATTAAGTTGGAGCAAAGCTGCTTCAGCTTAGCCAACAAACCTTAATCATCAATTAGAGAACAGTGTAAAAATTACTAAGCTTAGCGGATCAAGGTTAATAGAGAAACTATTAAGACCATTGTGATCTTCTGCGTCAGTGGGCTAAACCCCCCAGTCACCCGTTGTGGCAAGTCAACCGTGTTAAGTTCTACTGTACCTACCCTTCCCTTACCTCCCCTACCTTCGTATTACCTCCCGTCTTCTCCCCTCTCCCCCGTACTTTCCCTACACTCTGTTCTCCCCCGTTTGTACCCCTTACCCTCTTCAACCCCCCTACCCATTCGTGTTCACTCCCCTCCCCCGCTCCTTATTAATCTTGCCCTATACCGGCTCAGCCGGCGGGGTATCCGGCTGGTGTTACATTGGGAGGCTGGGCAGGAGAGAGAGGTAGTTACCGGTGGCACTTGATTATACTGGGTGAAGGAGCACTTGATAAAGCTCTATACGGAGCGATGCCTGACATGATAAGGCTCTACACGGAGCGATGCCTGACATGATAAGGCTCTACACGGAGCGATGCCTGACATGATAAGGCTCTACACGGAGAGCTGACTTGATACTCACGGAGTAGAAACGGATCACACTGAGGTCTTCTCTTTCAGAAACGTTTGAAATCTTACCCGAGTCTGTGCCTTGTGGCCTTTACGCCCTCCATGGCTTCTAACTTCAATTACTGTTTAAACTTGCCACTTGCCAGACCAGTCCTCAACTTTATAGGCCCACTTGTGGTCTTTCCTGGTCTGTTGTTGTTTGTGTTCTTTTTATTTGTTCATCGCCTGAAAACACCATCACCTCACCTCTGACTCGACTTCTTCTGTCACATTGTTTACATACACAATAAACAGTATGGGTCCAAGTACTGATCCTTGTGGAACCCCGCTCGTCACACTCGCCCATCCAGATACCTCCTCCTCCACTCTATTTCTATTATTCCTGTCTGTTCTACTATCTGTTGTTCCAGTCTTTTGTGAGATACTTTATTGAACACCTTCTTATTGACCAAAAATATGCAATCCACCCATCATTCTCTCTCTTCCCTGTCTATCTATCGTTACCTTGTCACAGAAATCTAGCAAGTTAGTTATTTTTATTAATCTACTCCTTTCCAAGTGTTCCACTACTCTATCTTGAGTCTCCTCTATTGTTACAAAAAACGCGATTCTAAAAGCTTAGAGATCTGCAGTGAACACTAGAAAGGACTGCCCTTCTAGCATCCAGCCTGTTACTGGGTTTTCGTAACAAGTAGTCAGTATCCTTGTCCAATTATCCATTAGAATTCAGTATGATTCAATAGTGCTTCAGGATTACAACTGGTAGGCTACTAACTAGAGAAATTAAAATTTAATAAATTTATTAAGTATAGTCTAGAGGTATATTATCAAATTAAATTAAATTAAATTAATCACAGTAATCAAAATAATATTAATCACTTCTCTCGTGTACAGTATTATTGTGCTGAAAGCACATATCACATTTATAAGTCTTAGTACCGTCTGGTACATTAACATTTAATAATACAATACACAAATAATTATGTATATGTGTGTAAGTGCTCTAAGTAGTTCGCTATGCCTCACGACTCGACTAGACTTAACAAGTGACTGACAAAGTCCTCAAATAAACTAACTTCTGGACCAACTGGCAGTCAGAACAGTCTGCTTGAACAATAAAAAGAATGTTAAGCCCAATAGCAATATAACAAGCAACTGCGTCACAGAATCAGGAACAAGGAGATAATATAACGACACTAAGTAGGGACCATCAGCAGATCCTCCACAAAAGTCACAAAACTCCCATACTACTGAATCTAAGTTCAGCATAAGAAAATCCCCGACTGTGACAGTACACAGATACCAGTACAAGTTAGGTCAAAAGCTACAGCTCAGGACCTGAGTTGCTCAGAGTGTCTATGCGACACACAACCTCAGTACAACGTCGAAAATCACTAAGTCTATACAATGTTCTGTGAACAGAGTCTCCAGAACTAACAAGAATAATAAGAAAGAGACGATCTTCCAAAAAGGGCCAATAAGGGAGATTTAGACTCGTCTTGTCAAGAATACTTCCAACCACCAAGAGAGTCTAGACCAGACTGAATACTTCAGGTGAAGTGAGAACACCCCCCCCTCTATCACGTGATAGCTCCGTGGACAGTTGCTGCTCAGCAACAGAAGCCGGCAGAGTAACGAGCAAAGAGCGATAATTACAGTAGTTAGACAATCAAGACTTGAACTATGAGCACATAATAATATGTTACATCCTACCTAACAAAAGTAACTAAGACAAATAATAATATAAAGCAATATATTTACGATTTAGCTATTATCGCAAATATAAGCAATATAAAATTATATGAAAAAGGTAATTATTACATATATATTATATATATAATATATATATATATATATATATATTATATATATATATATATATATATATACATATATATTAAATTTATATAAATATATATTTACATCATATGCATTGTGACACTTTCTGGGTTGCACATCTTACCTTTGACCCTTTGAAAATGTCAGTGACACTTTTCTGATTTAAAGCTTCCCTTTTTCTGAAACCCCTTGTTTAACATGTAGGGACACATTCTTGTGCTTTTCCGGAACTCTGGAGAGCTTGTTTCAGGTACACTTGTTTAAAGCCACTCGCTATGGTTTCACACACCTCCAGTGTGCTTTCCTGTCCAGTACTGGGGTGTTTGTGTCCAGTACCTTGTGTGTGTATATGTTGTTCCACTACTTGTCCTCCCAGTGTGTGTATTGTGTCCAGTACTTGTTGTGTGTATTGTGTCCAGTACTTGTTGTGTGTATTGTGTCCAGTACTTGTTGTGTGTATTGTGTCCAGTACTTGTTTGTTGTATTGTGTCCAGTACTCGTTGGTGCACTCTCCCTCTTTGGATGTTTGGTAATATTCCTGTGTCAGTTTGTTGTGCCTTATGTGTAAATCTGTGGTATCTTCTGTGTCAGTCTGTGTCATCCACAGTGACTAACTCACTGTTGTGTCTCCTACAGTTCTCCTCGGTGCTGCTGCCATACCAGAAGGGCGTCTACACTAACTCCTTCCACGACACTCACCCACGCTCTCTACACGAGGTCAGTACAGCTCTAGCTCATGTCCCTTGCACCACCACCATCACCCACGCTTCCTGTAGGACTTCAGAGGAGACTGTAGTCTTAGACGAGAGCTGGATGGCTGGTTAGCATGGCTTGTTGGCTATAAGTGTGTAGATGGACACACAGTGTTTCACTCTGTGTAGATGGACACACAGTGTTTCACTCTGTGTAGAGCTTTATCATGACTCGATGAAGCTCTACAGAGAGAGAAACGTTTCCCCAAATAAAAGCTTCTATACCTACTGCCTTCGTCTTGGTGGAAAAATGACTGATGGTTGCCTATATATCTCCCTGCCTACCTGCCTGCCTACCTGACTATCTGCCTGCCTGCCTACCTGACTATCTGCCTGCCTGCCTACCTGACTACCTGCTTGTCTGCCTACCTGCTTGCCTATCTACCTGACTATTTATCTGACTGCCTGTTTGCATGCCTGCCTGTTAGCCTGCTTGCCTGCGTACTTACCTACCTACCCGCCTGCCTGCCTGCCTGCCTGCCTGCCTGCCTGCCTGCCTGCCTGCCTGCCTGCCTGCCTGCCTGCCTGCCTGCCTGCTTGTCTGCCTACCTGCCTTGCATTATCTCTTTTCCTTTAAATAACGAATCTAAATGTCATGTTAATGCAGTTATAAGCATACATAAATCAATTAATCACGTAGATAAACATATCTACGAAACAAGTTGCAACGTAAACAGACTGACTGATATTGCACTAGCTAGGTTTAGGCTTGGTTACAGGTAATTCTGGCAGTCTTATAGTCACACAGACTGACTGATGTTATAGTAGCCAGGATTAGGCTTGGTTAAAAGCACTTCTGGCAGTCTGGCAGACACACAGACTGACTGATGTTGTAGTAGCCTGGCTTAGACTTGGTATTTCTGGCAATCTGACACATACGGTTGATAATCATACTTCATCTAAAGTATGTGGTCAGACTTATGGCCACTTTCTTCAACAGTATGAATGAGGGATATAGAGATAGACAGTATGATGACCTATGTGGTATATCAAGGTATCTTATTAATACAAATAAGATACCAGACTAATCTCCCACTACACCTGCCTTAGCCTTGACTAGAGACTTCCTAATCCCCTCACCTTCCGGTTATCTCATGGGAAAACTAGCTAGAGAGTGCTATAAGGAAGAGAGTGCCGTCCCAGAGACGGGAAGGCAGGAATTAGCACCAGTGGCACGAAACAAGAAACTGCAGAGGCCAGTTTCAGGACCTCTCACCTTCGGTGCATCAGCATATTCTGTCGCTGCTCCCCACTTTATGGACGCGGGAGGTGCACAATAAACTAGCCAGAGCGACGGCGCGTTCTTATTTACCATGAATAACGCCGGCATCACCCTTGACTGCATGCGGTGATGCTGCTAACACCACCACCACTACCACTACTGCCTCCTCTACCACTACCACCACTGCCTCCTCTACCACTACCACCACCACTACTACTACCACCACCACCACTACCACTACTACTACCCTCGCTGCATCCAAATCTCTACATTCTCGGTAAAGAGCATCTTCCAGGTTCCTTGAAACACTATCTGGAATTCCAGAGGCTGGAAGTAAGTAGTTTTGGAGAGAGAGAGAGAGAGAGAGAGAGACAGACAGACAGACAGATAGACAGATAGACAGACAGACAGACAGACAGACAGACAGACAGATAGATAGACAGACAGAGAGAGAGATAGAAAGAGAGAGAGAGAGAATTGAAAATGAATGAGATATTAGTATGTACCATTCACAAATTCGTACACAGTCAAACATACACACACACACACACACACACACACACACACACACACACACACACACACACACACACACACACACACACATACACACAAACACCAGGTAAAGCAACAATCTCACTACTTTACACATCAAAACAAGAGCTCCTCAGATCCCCGGCGTCAGTGGTGTTCGAGTGACCGGCCACGGCCATGGCCTCGGCTTATAAATAATGTATGTGTCACTTCCGCAGCCAATGTCGTAGAGGAAGCCAGCGGTGTGTGTGTGTGTGTGTGTGTGTGTGTGTTGTGTGTGTGTGTGTGTAGTGTGTTTGTGTGTGTGTGTGGTGTGTGTGTGTGTGTGATGTGTGTGTGTATGTGTGTGTGTGTGTGTGTGTATGTGTGTGTGTGTGTGTGTGTGTGTGTGTGTGGGCTACTGTCAACTGAATCCAAATACAGTTCAGAAAGAATTGTGTTTGCTTGTTCCAGTGTTCTTTAGCTTTTAAAAAAATCTTTAGCCCTCCTTTATGTTGCACCTCCTGCCTCGGAGTTTCACGTCACTCTTTAAAGGAAGCTATTGACATTTAAAGCAGTTGATAGAGTTTGAGATTGTCAGAGCTCTTAAGCGTCTTCAAGTTAGAATGATATCCCCCAACCCACCTGGGAAGGGATGAGAGGAGAGGGAGGGATTGAATGGGGGAGAGATGGATGGGTAGGGATAGGAAGGATAAATAGAGAAGAAATGAGGGCATTTATAACACACTTCAACACACTCCAACACTCTCCAACACACATCAACACTCTCCAACACTCTCCAACACACTCCAACACTCTCCAACACACTCCAACACTCTCCAACACACTCCAACACTCTCCAACACTCTCCAACACACTCCAACACAATCCAACACACTTCAACACAATCCAACACACTCCAACACAATCCAACACACTCCAACATACTCCAACATACTCCAACACTCTCCAACACACTCCAGCATACTCCAACATTCTCCAACACACTCCAACACGATATTCACACTCTTGACTTGGTGAGTGGCATCTAGATGCCTCTCACCAGATCAAGAGTGCCTCAAGATGCCTCTCACTACCTCAAGAGTGCCTCTAGAAACCTCCCACCACGTCAAGAGTGCCTCTCAACCCTCTAGTTGAGGCAGGATTGGAGCTATCAGCTCTCCTGATCGTTTATGCGGAGTGAGTCTAGGAAGGCAGCGTGGAGTAGTGATGGAAGGTCGATGGATGGTTTGTGGGAGATGAGAGAGGCTGTGAGAGATGCTGTGAGAGATGCTAGATGCTGTGAGAGATGCTAGATGCTGTGAGAGATGCTAGATACTGTGAGAGATGCTAGATGCTGTGAGAGATGCTAGATGCTGTGAGAGATGCTAGATGCTGTGAGAGATGCTAGATGCTGTGAGAGATGCTAGATGCTGTGAGAGATGCTAGATGCTGTGAGAGATGCTAGATGCTGTGAGAGATGCTAGATGCTGTGAGAGATGCTAGATGCTGTGAGATATGCTAGATGCTGTGAGAGATGCTAGATGCTGTGAGAGATGATGGAGGCTGTGAAAGATGCTGTGAATGATGCTGTGAGAGATGCTAGAGGATGAGAGATGCTGTGAGAGATGCTAGAGGATGAGAGATGCTGTGAGAGATGCTAGAGGATGGAGATTGCTGTGAGTGATGCTAAAGGATGAGAGATGCTGTGAGAGATGCTAGAGGGTGAGAGATGCTGTGAGAGATGCTAGAGGATGAGAGATGCTGTGAGAGATGCTAGAGGATTGAGATGCTGTGAGTGATGCTGTGAGTGATGCTGTGAGAGATGCTTTAGGCTTTGGGAGATGATACCTTTATTTTTTCTTTGGGGGGGGGGGAATGAGGGAGACAGTATGGATAGAGAAAAGGGTGAGAGAAGAAGTGGACAGGGAAGAAGGGGAGAGAGAAGTAGAGGGGAAGTTGATGTGTGTGTGTGTGTGGTGTGTGTGGTGTGTGTGTGTGTGTGTGTGTGCAAAGATCCTTTTCGTATTTCTGTTTCTTTTCTTCCTCTTACTCTCTCTCTCTCTCTCTCTCTCCCCTCTCTCTCTCTCTCTCTCTACTCTCTCTCTCTTCTCTCTCTCTCTCTCTCACTCTCTGTCTCTCACCCTCTCTCACTCTCTGTCTCTTCCCATCTCTCTCTCATCTTTTTCTCTTTATTCTATCCCTCCCTCTTTACCAGGCAATCCTTCCCTCTTCCTCCTCCAATTCTTCTCTCTCCCTTCTCCAGTCCTTCTCTCTCTCTCTCTCTCTCTCTCTTTTTTTTTTTTTTTTTTTTTTTTTTTTTTTTTTTTTTTTTTTTTTTTTTACACAGGGTTTGACAAGGTTAAGGATCCCTAGCTTTATTGACAGCTATTTACAGGTTAAGGATTCCTAACTTTATTGGCAAGCTTAAGAGCTGTTACCTACATCAGCTCATTTGAAAGCATTTTTGTTATGAGACATACAAGTAGGGACAGGATGAAGTTGAGCCATCTGTGGGCCGCATTTTCATTATCAACTGAACGTTATCTCGTTGACATCATTACTGTAAGAATGTGTTTCTACTCGAGTCATCCTGGTATGTAGATCTCAGATGGAGTTGATGTCTGGAGAGGGTAACAGCAGAGGAAGTTGCTGCTTTGCCCGTCTTGTGGCATAAAAGCTTGTTATCTACCTGCCTCGAATGGATCCAAGTGTGGTAAAATTTGACAATATTGGCCTTGTACATAACAGTAAGGCCACCCACATCCTCCAATGTTGAAGGCTCTGCTGAATGACATCTATCCAGGAATGGGTCCAGGCGAGAGAATGAGACGTCTTGCTCTGTTCTCTACTCTGTCAAGAAGTCGCAGATGAAGGTGGGGGCAGCAAACCAAGAAAGGGAGCATACTCAAGGTGTGACGTACTTGGCCATGTACAGATTGCAAACCCTACGTCAACAGATGCGAGATACGCGAAGTGCTGTAAGCTTCCTGGCTGCTTGTTTGCAAGATTTACAACATGGTTTTCATGGTTGTTTGAGTCAAATTATCACCCCAAGATATCAACTTTCTTCTTCCAGGTGCCAACATCGTCCCATTCATCCTTACTACTGCACCAGCATACATCATGGTGCCTAGAGCGAACATCATTTGCGTTTTGTTTTCAGGTCCAAATGTTACTTGCCATCTAGTTTCCCCAAGCTGATATAGCTCTCAGTGGGATTGATGTAG